CGCGAAGCTCGAGCGTGAACACGTCAAATCGCCGAGAAGGAGGAAGGCTCCCCGCTGGCGATCTAATGAAACGTTCCCCGCCGTTATCCGTGCGAACTCATCAGCATGGTGGTTCCATCACGAAAGCGGAACGTTCGATGAGAGCTCAGCGCGCTGAAGTTCGGATATGAGGATAAGCCGAAGAATGTTCACCCTACTGTCGGAGCCGTTCAGTCAGGTGATCGGATCATAAACAATCGATCGAATTCCCATTGAATTATCGAACCGCATCGAGGGTCAGAGGGCTATCTTCACTCGTGACGTTAACGTGGTCAGGCGGCGGTTTATAGTACGTAAACTATAACAAGATAACCTGTTGTCATTAGATTCGCTTTCTCTGATTCAACACCGTCGCGGATATGTTTCTCTCGACATGCACCCGTAGAACTCTCTCAGCAAGACTCGGTCCCCTATCGGAGGAAATACCTAATTCAAGTAAATAAGAATTCAGTACCGCAGTGTGGAGCCGTGAATCGGTTAACACAAGTCCCGGGAGAGTCTCAGAAATTTCCTTAGCCCCACGATTGTTCCGAGTTCATTCGGAAAAACGTCGGCGCTGCCGTATCTCCTATGCCTCGAGTACATCTACACCCCGGCGAAAATTGCTTGTCTCGTCTGTCGCTATCGACAGGTCTCGCGGACCGAACGGGTTGACGGACACAAGCTGGGCAGTAAAGACACAAAGAAGCGCTGCATACAAATCAAGCAGCGACCGATGTCAAATAAAGCAATGCTACGACGTCACGGCGCGCTCGAGGTGTTCACCCTGGCGGCTAGGGGCGTCGCGAGCCATGTCCACGTATAGGAAACGACGAGGAGAAATTTCGACTCATGACTCATAGCCAGCCTGGTTGAGCGAATCCATTACAATCAGATCGACGGAACAGCGGAGCCGCATCCGCCAGACTGCACGGACCCAGAAGAAGTTGCCGCGTCTGGAACTTTTCCGTCGCTCAGTCCGTCGCTACTTGTCGGGCTGGTTCGTCCGCTCGACCGATGCCGGAGAACGAGTAACTTGCTGCGACCTGACTCTTCTCCCTCTCTCCAGAAAAAAACATTACGGTCGAAACGCAACTTGCTTCTCCCTATCGGGATGTTCGCCCTAGAAACTGTTCTGTCATCATCTCACGGGGTTGTGGCTTCGCTCCCGCGGCCGTCAGCCAAGTCTCGGGATCGGAAAATCAAAACAGCCTACTCGACGTTCGAAGGAAGGAAGCGGGACGTTTTCAGAGCTAGACATTGATTGGGATCAAATTCAATCGAAGAAAACTCGATGGACGGGAAAACCGATAGTTTGTCAGTCGGAGGAAACATTCGGAACCCGTGCGCTTGAACTCCACCGCTGCTCGTCCAGCCACTCGTTAACTGACAGTTTCGACGTCGACCGTCAATACTCGTCGTGAAACCTTCCGCACTGGAGTGGCTGACGGTGATGACCTGCTCTAAAAATCATAGAGGCGAGCAATGCCCGACTTTGGTGACGGCTTCGAATAAATTTCGGAGAGCAGTCGAATGTCAACAATTCGTGGAATAAGTCAAGCATTGGTCTTCTATCGTGCGGGAACGACCTCAACAACGGGGAGTTTGATACTTTTGGCACGAGTTTTATCATCGGATCTCGCGCGGATCTCTCCGCTGGTAAATCGTTCACTGTCTCCCCGATTGGGGCTTTGCTCCAGCATTGTCCCTACTCCTGAAAGAGAGAAACGAAGGAGCCCACGGGTACCGGGCGGCGCTTTCTGCCGAGGAGGATCCGTCGTTTCTCTAGAATAGGAAAAATTCAACGGTTTCGAGAAATTTATTCTGAGGCCAACGAACGGGGCGCGAGCTGTGGTCTGCACCGGTAGGGATCTGTTACGAAACCTCGGCTTAACCGATAAAGGAGAAGCGGAGGGTGACGTTTGATGGAGCCGTGTATAAAAAACAGCGACAACTGCAGAAAAAAAGATCAATCGAGAATTGTCTCAAAATAAAGTGTTGAAGCGCGCGCGTGTACCGATAGTTTATAGTCGCGCCACACCCTGCGTGGTGTGTGGTGGCGAGAGAACAAACGGGGAAAGGAGAACTCGAATGAGCGAGGGATTCATGCTGATCGCTACTCGGGGACCTTACCCGGCAGCCAGTCCAGAATCAGATTCACAAGTTGAGCTAGCAGATAGCACCGGATATGCGTGATTGTAAGCAACTATTCTTCCATCTGTCTCTCATGTGCTAGTGTGTTCGTGAGTGAGTGACACAGTCAAAGGAGTATTGTGATCAAGTCCCGTTGACCCGAGCGCTCGAGTGATTTTCATCGCGACCGCCGTTGTCGTTACGTTCGACCATCCAAGACCGATGGGGATTTTTTTTGCGCGCGATATTCTCACCCTACGAAAAGTTCGAGAGCTTCTCATTGTAAACGATGGCTATGGAGACGTCAGTCGGATAACAGAAGAGTGATGGAAGATTACCGCTAGATAAATGGAAAATGGACACCGAGGTTCGACCGGGTGATTGACGACACCTGGAAACCGAGTCAATCCATTCGATTCTCCTCTGAATGTCATTCCTCGGTAATTAGCCGCGACCAGAGACGAGTCGGCTTCCTGCTGAAAATCTCGCGGCAGCCTGCGCTCTGAGGATGTCACGCGACCTTCCCTCTGTACTCTGCAGCAGAATTGCTCAGATGTTCTCAGGATCGTTCCGACGATGAGGTCATCAGAGGGGCTTCCCTGTGACCTCGGTCGCGACTCTCCCTCTTCCCGGAAAGGGTTCTCCCACCATGTGTTCTCAGAAAGACCTCGGCCCGTTGATTCGAGGGCCCGATGTATCTCGGGAAGCCAAGTACTGCTCTCCGCCGATGAGGAGAATTTCGATTCATCGCCCGAAAATCATGTCAATGATTTTGGAATAAAAGGCATCATACGCTCGATACCTTATGTCGATCGTCTTCCCTCTCGGAGTTCCCTCGGATTCTCGACGTCTCTCCGAGATGTGGTCATTCGATCTCTGAGCGAGTCCGCCTCCGTATCCGTTTTCCTCCCCGAGGAACCGGCTGAGCGAAGAGCAGTCACCGGTAAAGGTGATCTGACCGGATGATTTAGCCGAGATCGTCCTGTCTGTTAGGTGTTTTGATAAGGCTCCAGATGACACGGCGCTCGAGCGAGTGCATCTGGTTAGCTTTGTGTGTGTTTTCTGCAGGAAAGTGCTCCACCCAGGTCCAGAGAGCGTTCGATGCGCTCGGTCCGAACATGGTTAGGAAGTGGAATGGCAAATGTTGTCAAAGAGCGGCTGCTTTTGGCTGCAGCTTCTCGAGCTTGCCTGCTTTACCGCTATCGAGCGAAGCTTGACAGACATGTAGGAACGCTCCGGACAATGACTTTGTTGAGCGTTGACAGCGAGCGCGTTGACACAAGCACGCTGTTATAGATTCCGGCGTGGTTGCGCTGATCAATCTGCGTGAGCACATCGAATCCCCAAATATTCCCGCCCGCCTGCCCCGTTCTTCGTATCTCTGGTCTTTAACTAAACATCGGCGGCGGCATCATCGACACGATCGTCGACGTCTTCGTCGTCGTCGTTTTCGACAAATCCACCATTGCCACGGTCGCGGGCGTGCGTCGTTGTAAACAAAACCACGAACAAATAAGCGCGATCTCTCGACTCTTTCTCTAAACGGTTTTCACACTTATCCGAGGACTGGTTAGACCGTTCCCGTTCCGAACACAGTTTATTTATTGTGGCATGCCGGTAGACAATTATAAAAAATCAGAGCCCTCGTCTCTATCCTTCTGCTCCGCGCCCCCTTCACTCAGATTCCCCCTTCGAATCCGCCTACTCAATGGGAAGCTGAGAAGAGCGGAATCTCGGTCTCGATGCTCAGGCTGGCCCGCCATCTTCCGATCCAACTATTCGAACTCTCGGAGACTTCTTGGAAACTGTCAATCAGCATTGTTCCACTCTCTGACATGCGCATCCCCACCACTGTTTCCCGTCGGCCACTGTGATTTTCGTCAATGTTTGTGTGATGACGAGAGTGTCAAATGCTCCCGCGACATGAGTGCGCATTCGATACCCAATCACATAGATCTTAATCAATCCGGGAGAGATTCATGTGGATCTGCACGTTCCGTACGGAGGTTGGTTAGCCTGATTGGAGCGTGCAAACGCGTCATCCTACCCCGTCTTCCTACTTGTTTCGTCGGGCCTCGCTGTTCAGTGTTTCGACCTCTTTTGCGTGAAATCTCACTCATCGGACACCGATCTAGAGACGCAATCCCCAACGTCGACCAGCGCCGCTCGCTTACGCCTTCGAAAAAACTCGGAATTTCACAGATCTTCCGTCGATCAAAGCATGTTACCTATCGAGGGTCTCCCCGCGGGATATCGTTGAGGGGTCTCCCCGTTCATTCATTCATGGTGCGGAACCTTCTCGCGAACGTCGACGGTATGCTCTTGTTGTGAAATATCGGGATCCGGCTCTGACTCTGATATACGATTTGTGGAATGGGTAGTCGGCTTGTCTTCCGTTCGACACCGCGCGACATTCTTTTGAGTGAATTTTTCGCTCAGTGATTCATTAGGCCGCGCCGCCGGCGCCTTTCACGAAGTCGTCTCCCCCCGACTCTTTACGGCGGCTTGCGCGGATTCTTCAGCTCTCCATGGAGTGAACGACTTACATAATATAGCAACGGTGAAAGTGGTGCGAATTCTCTCCTCGTTGTTGAATGGTCGGTTCCAAGGATCGGACTCGAGCGCTCACCGGTCGACTACGTGATCACGGGCTAAAGGAATGAAATTCACAACAGGAGGTTTGTGTGTGTTGTGCTTTCAGAAACTCGACACGGTTCTTGATGTGTTGTCGAAATGATTGCGTGAGGCTATCTCGGTGCGGCTAGCACTTCTCATATCCGGATAATCGCCCGTCCGCCGGCCGGCCCGCCCGTTCGATCGAGCAAACGCATTTTTCTTCAAAATAAAGCATGAAAACGATGCGTAGAGTTCAGGTTCACCCGACGCCAACGAAAGGTGAGTTCGGAGGCAAGGCATCGGTAGCTTGACCGCAGTCGTTCCCACGATCGAGAAATCCGGAGAAAGAGTTGAGGGAGCGCTGTGATGAGAACCGATTCAGTTGGTTCTCACCGATTCGATCGTTTATTTTATTGGTGCGATATTCCTGCCCTGAATCGGAATTCAGCCGTTAAACTGTCTATTTCTGTCCGATACTGCTCGCCGAAATCCCATGGAAAGCATTTTTTTCCGGTAAACGAGATTTTTCGACCGAGGGGCATGGGTCTGCTAGACGAACTCATTCGAATTGAAGCGGATTGTGGGCGAGCGGGAATCGAACCCAACATCATCGTGACGTTCAGCAGCGAAACAGAGCAACTCCCGGCAGAGGGCAAACCGAATACAGAGCTAGACTCAAGGATTTCCGGCTGGGATCATAATGACCGCTGCCCGGTCGGGACATAATGTGCTGTCATTGAGAACTTTCTCCGGAGCATCAGGTGGCGAATACCGTTGTTTCCCTTCTTCTCACTGCGAAGCGATTCCGCAGTGATCGTTACCGTTGTAACGATTGTGACCCGGATGGAAATCTGAATCTGGCTTTTGTTTGCGGAATGGGAGAATACTGTTTTCCTTTTACTCGTGGCTTGAAGAGAAAAACTTCGGGGTTTCTGAATCGTTGGAGCCACCTCTCCTGTATGCAAAGCGGAGAGCTCAGCGTATATCCATCCACCAAGCGAACATATCCATGATTCATAGTCGCATCGAACTTTCAGAAAATATGTGACTGCTCAGGATCTCATCGGTTGAAGAGAAAACGCTCCCTCCGACTGAAGCGAGGAGTGTATTATGGTGGGAATCCAGCTCTGTTCAGTCGCTATCTCATCCATGGAATGTCTGAGCCCCGTTCTGAAGGCGTTGGAACGGTTTTCTGAACCGGTCCGCTTCTTAGGGAAGTTTTCCGAGTTCACTTTTTGTGGTCTTTTTGCTTCCACACCTTGGTCGCATCGTCGCGTACTACTCGTCTGTTCGGTCGGTCGGTTAGTCCCTCACTCCGTCTCCCGTCCGCTGAATCAATCGATAAATGTTCTTGGAAGAAACGAGAACGTGACGCCAAAATGCGACACCGCCCATTCAATACACTGGATCAAAGTGGAAGTTGCGGAGATTTCAGCCGCAACCCAATCCCTCCCGATCACGGAGCCTGATCAGCTGACTTCAAGCGGTGCAGACGGGGCCACAGAACCAACGAGAAATGTCGATACAGAAGGACGCGTTTTCTTCTTCGCTTTCCGTTCTGATATAAAACAGATTCCCCACAAAGATGGGCTACCTCGGTGCGGAGCTATTCGAATACTCATCAAATCAAGTCTTATGACGTCATAGACCGAGGAATCGCATGGGACCCGTTTCTAGAAGACAATGGTAATACTGTTGTGACTTTATTCCCGAGGGCCAGTGAGCGGCATCTTCTGCGGGAGCTCATATACACCGCAATACCGATTGGAGATGCTCCACGCATTTAACAGTCGGGGAAGCTGGCGAGCCGAGGAGAGAGGATAGACATGAGAAATGGAAGCAGACAGAAAAAAATGTATCGAATCAACATTCTCAGCGTCTTTGTCGGCTGACCCGACCATAGATCGCGCTGTTTCTCTCTATACATACATCACCCGAGCTCGAAGTTTGTTTTCCACGGAGATTGGAAGAAGGCGGCGAGTCCACTCAGAACAAGCTCAAAGCTTCCCGCTCTATCTAGCCCGTCTTCTCGCTGTCTCTGTTCTATCTCCCAGAGCTCGGAAGAAGCGGACCGACCATACCCGAACCGAATATCATCATCAGGTGCGATCGTTCGCTTATGAGTCTTGAGGTTTGATTCGACTTCGATCGACACTTTGAATATTCGCCGAGTGTTCCGTCTTATCACTTTTTGCGGGTCAGCCGGGCTGGGGAGCTGGGATTGATATGATGAGAGAGCTCGGAAAATATCCTGCGGGCGATGAGGTATCGTACTTCTCTGCCCGCGCTGTGTGGAGTGTCTCGGTGCCTCAGTCTCCCCTGTGGGCATTTCAATCCCACCTATGAATCGAATCTCCGGTGGTAATCTCTGTTGTAGCGGGTTGAGAAGCCCTCGAAGCCACCGACAGCGTATTCAGTCAGCACGATGAGTGGCAACGAACGAGACTGTCATTTCAGACTGGGTCTCGTTCGCCGCGCTTCTCCGAACCGAGCTAAAAAGAGTGGTCATTTGGCGCAACCGCTAGACTTGCGGGGTCATAGTTTCTTCGCTCACCGACATATTAGAGCGGGATGTAGGCAGAGGCACATGCGTGCGATCGCATTTTTCTGAATATACATACATATTTCTGTAGACGTTTGCGCGATGATCTCGATACTTTTCCAGCAGGAAAAAAACGCGAAGTAGAACGAGGACGTACCTTTGGGAAGGAGAAATATTTTCCCGGAAGCTGGAAGAACCAGAAACCTATCGAGGATGTGGCTCTTCCCTCAGCCAAGGATGGAGAATGATGGGGATATTGGATGAGAATTTTCGGAATACGGAAGAAGGTTCCGGAAAACGTGGACGAATCCAAGGGAGACGGATGGAAGAAGAGGCGGAAAGATGCCCGGACGACGATTTACGGGATTACTCACAAGATTCCCAAAAATGTCGATTCGTCACTTTCATCCTCTTTCAGTGGTGGTGGTTGTGGGTTCGAGAGAAAGCGAAACGACTTTGGACTCGGAAACAGCTCAACTAATACGATGATGACAGCGGACGGCATCCGTTCCAATGAACGGTTTTTTTTCCTCTCGGGTATTCACTCACTTGAATCGCTCGTTGACCTTGTCTGCCGGCCTGAGTCGTTTCTTGAGCCGCTCGTTCATCTCCGCTGATGAGTAATTTGATTCGGAGTGTATTCGACTCGTTCGTCCTGAACTCTTCGCCGCTGGAATGGAACTAGCTGTTCGCCGACAAAGCTGCCGGAGAACGAGCCCTGGCGATAATTTCACTTATCCCCGGGTACTCAACCAAGTCTGTGCCCGTTTAGAGCCAGTATCATTCCCTGATGACGCAGTGAACTCGCCTCCGGAGCGGCTCCGCTCAGACAGACCGATTTTCCGGAGCAAAAGCAACGGACGAGTAGGTGAAATCGGCGAAGGAAATCAATTATCGTATAGCAGCAGATCAACTCTGGGGTGGGCAAGGAGTTGAAGGGTCGAATATCTTCAGAGGAAATCCAGATATTCTGTCGCTCCCGCATCCTTACGCTGGGTTTCGATCAGTCTCGACGACCAACGCGCAACAGATACCCGCCAGTTGCGACTTCCGAAAAATATTTGATTCAACTCATCCGAGCATACATCCTACTCTGAAGTGGACAAGTCCACTGAAGGCCACTTGTGCGAGGTTCAATCTTCCGAATTTGAATCGTCTTAGGGAATCGCTGGTGCACCGAATTCGTGGCATTCATCTCGCGAGAATCCGGCGAACTTCGATCTGTAGAGGACCCAGAGAGATATTCATTTCGAGATCCCGGTTGGAGAAGGTTGCGGGAGGCAAAAATATTCGAGCGGTTTCTCGGCTTCGGAACCAGTGATGAAAATTGCATTGAGGCCGTTGTTCCGCAGAAGCAATCCTTGAAAATCAGCGTTGGGCTCGGCGCGGCACCACATGCACGAATTCGGCTGTCATTAGAAGCCACAATGGATGTGGTGGGTGCTCGAAATGATGTATGTAGGAGCTATTCCTGCGCTTGCTTCACGACTACAATAGATCAAATCCAGGTCTTCGACCACGCCTATTCAGACTCGGATCGAGCGCAATAATTTCCGTCATCAGAGGACATCTCATCTACCTATACCTAGCCGACTCCGGCCCTGATCGGCGCTCCCAACTCCCCACAAATCCGACGGCCCGGCGCTCTCTTGTCATCCTTAGCCGAACTGTTCTCGTCAGTGGAGAACTTCAGCTGTGGGCTCATGAGCTTTCGCGATCTATTGAGTCGTGTACCCACTCCTCGATGTCCACGCTCCCCTCGGAATCGGGTCTGTCCCCGGGCCCTCTCTCCAAGAAGAGATGAAACAAAATCAAGATTGGAGCCTAGGGTTTCCCCTGGCGTTCCGCGTGGCTGACGCCGCGGGTTGCCATGGATGTTAATATGATGCAGTCGGATTCGATCGTGTGTACCATACGCTGCCGCCCGCTCGAATGTTCAAGGAGTTAATGATGAAATGCTTCAATCACGCGATGTTCGAAGGAGAAGAGAAATCATTACGCATCGAGAGATGCAGAACAGATGGGAGGAGGCGCACAATCGGCTGAATAAATGGAAATATTCGCCGTGTGAACTCGGTTCCAACGGTCCTAGGCGTCAATCGTCCTTGAGCGGAACGGAAAGACTTTTTCAGTGATCGACACCACGGAGGCGAAGAGCCGGAGAAGAGCAATGGTCTATGAACAGGGCTCTCTCTTATCAACAATATTCGATTGGATGAGAGACGGCGTAACACGGAGAGCCTTATTCCGGTCGTAAATTCATCGGCTGTACTCAGAATCCAATTACAAGTCTCGATTGAGAACATCAGCAACGGCATACAACGATGTACAATAACTCCCGTGCGAATCGGACATATCGTCGACCCTCCGCGCGATCCTGAGATGGTACCTCTCGATCATTTGCTCGTTGCTCCGAAACATACGATCGCCGGACCGAGCGACTGACCGATTTCCCCCTTTCGTCGCTCCCCCTTACCTCGTAATCGATGGCCCCCAAATTTGACTCCGTAAGATGTAGGGGACCACCGCCAACACCGCCGCCACAAGGAAGACACGCGCAGTAATTTGTCTTCGATGAACGTCGATTATTATTCGTTCTCGTAGTCGTCGCAGAAAAATGATTTTTCTCGACTGTTCGTCCCAAGAGAAACTGTCGTTCTTCATTTCTGCAAGAGGAAGGAACAGAAATGAATCAGGAACGACTCGGAGCTCTTGCGGAGCGGTCGGCGTCATTTTT